TCCAATAAACTTATCTTGGAGAGCAGATTGAGCGCTATAAAATGGTATATTTACCATCATTGTAGCCCAAACACTTCCCAAGATAATGTAGCAAAACCCTGCAAGAGAAAACACAAACTTTGACAAAACAGTAGTGTTCTACTTGCCAGTTCTCTGTGGGGTCTGTGTCCAGTATATAAAAACAGCTCAGAAAAAGAGAGCATTTCATTCTGGCCTTGGACTCTGTGATGGCTAGTTCTCTATACAGTTGGTTGTGTTAGTGTTGTACCAGTCTAAACCAGAACTGATTGTTCACAATAAAAACATGCCAAAGGTAAGAAGGGAAAGTTATATGCACTTTCAGGAGAATTCAAGATGCAATAAATTGAAACAGTGGTCACATTCTTTGATGTGTCATCTGCGATGCAAATATTATAATTGATGAGAGGCACCAAAGAGACGGCTTATACCAGCACATTCAACTACAGCAAGCTTGCAAAGAACATTGAATTTCACAAATCAAAACCTAAGCAAACTACCTTGATATGTGCTTTCAATTCAGAATCCAAAAAGCAGTGGTAATTGAATGAGTTTAGTGCAGATCTTACCATGGTATTAATCCAATCAGGAATTCCAGTCCACAACATAAAACAATACTGCATTCAAACCATTTCTTGAAAAGTACATGCAAAAGTAGTACCAGATGAGAGCACCGCACCCTTAAAAAAAATTCACAAAAAAATTCTCATAAATTGGCTTTAAGAAAGTAAAAGAGGTGGTCGGCAAACATGAAGTGTGATTCACATTAGATAAGATTACCAATGAAAGGTAAAGATATACTGTATATTGAATGTGCTGGTGTTTTCATTATCTGGTGAATGAATGAAACCCATATTTTTTAAGATGTACCAACTCAAGAAGATAAATGTATGCACAGTAATGCAGTCAATTCAATGATTCATTCATGAAGCTATGGACAAGGAACTTACAATATGAAAAAGTCAGGCTCATGGTGAGTGATCAAGCATGCCATGTGCTTACAGCTTTTCTACAACTGAAGGCAATGTACCACAACCTCAATCACATGTATTGCACATGGACTACACTGTGAAATATCAAAAAAGAATACAGTAGGGTAAATGACTTCACTAATGTTCTGAAGAAGATTCCTGTAAAAGCTCTTGTCAAATTTTATACTGAAAAGTCATTGGGCTCCACCTATTATAATTCCCTGCCATAACCAGATGGGGTATTTGAATAATATGCATAATTTTCTTGTGCAAAAACTTTGACAAAATCAAATGTCTCATATTCAATGGATGTAGCAGCCATCAAGTAGGCTCAACAACAAAGACTTTAGAGTTGGAACTTTAAGTAGTATGTGGCTACAAGTATTTGCCTGATGTGATTCAGAATTTGGAAGAAGGTGAGGAGGAGGAGGAGGAGGAACAGTGGAAGAAGTTTATGACTGTGAGGGACAACCTTGACAAATTTGCCAAAGCCAAATTTGAATTAAATTTCAGGAGCAATCTAGATAGCAATCTTTGCAACTTTGATTGAACTCCCTTTCTGAGTGCTTACAGGATACGATCTGGTTTCAGCTGAAGTTGAACAGTTTCTCCACATACAATGATTTCCTGAACTCAAAGTGCCAGTGACTTTTGAAAACAGAAATGTTATGCATATTCCAATACAACTAGTTAGTTAAAACTCAGTAAATGACATGTTAACCTCTTAAATATGTTTACTTCATAATATTTGCCATAGTATTAAATAAAAAAGATTCATGTAACTGGTTTTTAAACCTGAATAAATGCATTTCATCAACACTTTTCTTTTTGCCCTTCTTGTATACTTTTTCAGAACTTTTTCCCTCTTTTCCAACTGAAATTTTGCACCTTAAAATTCATTCTCTAGTTATAACACTACACGTAAATAGATTCATATAGAAATTCCAATTACAGTAAGACCTCGTTTAGTGCTTAGGATGCATTCCTAGACAACAAAGTGCTAAATGAAACAGCATTAAACAAGGCCATTTTAACCCATAGTAAATAGGAAAGGGAAAACATGCAACCAAAAATAAAGTTTACTTTAAGTTATTTTTATATTAATTTGCATAATAATGTGTTACATAACACATGAACATATGCACACAGAAATATGAAGTTCATTTTTGTGATGAAGGTCCTGGTTCTGAAATTCTTGATTTTTTGCAATGAACTCATCTAGTGTCATTTGTTGCTTTCTTTTTCTTTCATTAAGCAAATGTCGGTAGCAAGAGATCGCATCCAAAACGTTTCATCTTGCATTTGCACTTCTTTCAAAATTTGGATCATGAGGAGTTACTGTAGGTTTCTGGTGAGACAACAACTGCCAAGAACTGGCAGAACAAGGAATTCATAAAGAACTGTAAAATAGTGATTTTGAAAACGAAGAATCCAAAGAACTTATGCTAGAGTTTGATCAATGATTTCGGTTATCATTACCAAACTTTTACTAAGGAAATCTGTAACAAATTCTTTGGATTCTTCGTTTTCAAAATCACTATTTTTCAGTTCTTTATGAATTCCTTGTTCTGCCAGTTCTGGAGGTCGTTGTCTCACCAGAAACCTACAGTAACTCCTCAATATCTTGCTCAACTACATCTAGTCCTGCTATATCGATTAGGTTGACAATTTGGTCAACAATAGATTCTTCTCATTGAGACTCCTTGGATACCTCTGGCCATACCTTCTTCCACTCTGTTCATGCATTTATCAGTTAATTCTTGCCAAGTGAAGTTGATATTGCCTATGGCATCCATGATGTTATATTTTTTCCAAAATTGCACCAAACAGATTTAGGGGAAGTACAGCACTACAATGAATTGCCACCTTTTGCTGATTGGTTTGTGTTTGGGAATATTATATACGAATCAATGAAATGAAGCAATAAATTGAATAAGCATACATTTTGAGTTTTTTTAGGCTTCGAGCAGATTGCATTATATGGAATCAGCATTAATCAAGAAGCACTAAATGAGGTCTTTCTATATATATATACACCAAAACAAAATATATGTAAAAACTGTCAAATTAATATTTAGACAATACAGATAATTGACAAGGTTCCTAGACAACAAAGTGCTAAATGAAACAGCATTAAACAAGTCTCTTCTGTAACAATATCTTCTTCCAGAGTTTTCTAAATTATTTAATTAAGTTCAAAATTTATTTACAATTATTAATCCTAACACAAAAATGTGGCTTAACTGTCTCTCTAAGAAAAACACATATATTTAATTAATTAAAAATTAACATTTCATCAATACCTTTTTCTTGTATAAAAATTATCTATAGCAACTTAATCTTAAGTTTGGTTCAAAATACTAAACAAACAGTAAACTTGTTGAAAGGAGGTAGCCAGAAATGGCATGGTAAGAAAATAGTCGTCCATTTTTATAAAAATAAATTGTCTTATTAAGGAATAACTGCTTTTATTTGGGAAAGATAGAATAAAATAAATTAATATATGGGACAAAACCCACATCTTTTACATTACTGCATGATCCAACCAAATGCACCATCCAGGAATTGTACTAAAGAGCCAAAGTATTCATCAAATATACTTAATTCACTATTGAATTAATTTAAACTAATTTAATTTTTTTGACATTTAACACACAAAACAAAACTTTAAAAAATGTCTGATTCACCTATTTGTTTCTTTTTTAGATTTAAAAAAATTTTTGTAAAGCTTTTGTAATGACTAGTAAGCACAACTGATGCTTTGCTTTTAGCTTAATATGGAAAATATAATTTGTTGTATTTTTCTTAATATTTTGAAAAAAAAATTGATTTATTAACAATTTTATAATTTTTTAAAATAAGTAAATTAATGGTAATGAATAGTAACCAATTTTATTCCTTAGGTGTTCTGGAAAATAGTTGACTATGACAGCTTACTCACAAAGCCACAAAGAAATAAAAGTCATATACAAGGGTCATTCTAAAAGAAAAACATTTTGATCTGACAAGCTGAGCAGTTCTCTCATCACCCCCACTGCCGTGTCATGGCACCCATTTTTTCACGCCAGTCTGACACTAACAGAGAGCCACAACAATTGTTTACTGTTCATAGTGTGACAAAATTAAAGATCCCACAAAGTGTGAGGTTCGTAGTGTAATATGCTTTTTGAATGCGAAAAAAGTCCACCCTATCGAAATTTACAGACAGAAAACCAAAGTTTATGGTAATGTGAAGAATGAAGCTTCAGTTCAAAACAAACAGCAGGGATTGTCATCCAGAGGTATTGTGCTTCTTCAGGATAATGAACGTCTGCATGCTGCTACATTGACAAAGAAATTGCTTCAGCAGTTTAAGTGGGAAGTTTTTGAACATCCTCCTTATAGCCCAGACTTGGCTCCGAGTGATTACCATCTTTTCCCAAAAGTGAAGGATTTTTTGGCCAGGAATCACTATGGAAGTGACAATGAACTGAAAGAGGCCATTAATGACTGGTTCAAGAACTTGGTGGTAACTGAGTGTGCAGAAGGCATAGAAAAGCTGGTGATACACTATGACGAATGTTTAAATTTGTATGGCGACTACATAGAAAAATAGCTAAGGTATCATATGTGTTGTAAAATAAGTTTTGTTTCATTACCTTAAATTAAAATATCTAGAGAAACAAACATTCTTTACTTTTAAAATAACCTTGATATATTATATTATATTAATTCATCCTTAAATTTGTAATATATCTTTAATTTTAACTTATTGTTACCTTGAATATTGTCAAATGAGAAATGACAGACATATTTTGAGAATCAGTTAATTTTTTAATGTTTAGAAAGTTACTTAAAATTTCATTAGGATTCAAATTAATTGAGAACAAGTATATTTTTAAAAACTCTCAATAATTCTAACAGTTAAATACCTAAAATTTAATTATAGAAATAAGGAATGAAAAGCAGGAATCATAAAATTTCCAAATTGTTTCTAGTATATTATAATATTACAAAGTATTCTTACCTGCAACTTTTTTATCCTCAATTTAACTTTCTTAGTAGGGTTAATCTTGTAAGCCTCTTTAAATAATTCAATGGCATTAGAAATCTTCCCATCTTTTGCAAGTGCTTTTCCACTTTCTTGTAGTTGATGAAATTTATCATTTAATTGGTCAGTTAAATAATCTTCATTTTCTGACATTTTTTAATATTCTAAATTTCTAATATAGTAACTGGCCTTGTTGAAATGTAATAGTTATTTTTTTGAAAAATATTCAATTAAAGTGGTGGTTTGAATTTCAAATCAATAATTATCTGAAAAAAAAAAATATAAAAATTATAATGACTAACACAAAACCTTTCACACTTTGTTTCTAGCAGTTTAATCACTAAGTACAAATGTTTTCAGCCATTTTGAATGGCCTTCTTCAGGTACAATGAGGTCGATTGAAACATTGGTTAGAAGATATTCAAATGGCGTCACTGTTTACATAGGTTTCTTCTTACTAGTGACGTCATTGTTGATAACAAAGTTTAGATGATATTGACGTCGTTAATTTTCTTTTGATATTATTATTTAAGGTATGAGAACGACTATTGATGAGATAATTGCTAAAATTGGAAATAAAACCGGAAAAAAATAACGTGATAAGTTAAGAAAATGCTCTAAAGATTGTGACAAACTTGGTGAGGGTGGATTGGCCTATTTAGTTTAACTGGTTATCAAAGAGTGATTTCCATGCAGAGGAAAGCAAGTCTGCATCTCTGCTGTTGATACAATTCTCCTTGAGGAATTTTGCAAAGATTTGAATGGTTTCAATTGTCAAGCATAAGTATAATAATCTTAGCCTCTTCCCATTTGGCCGTTATATTTGGTTCACTTGCAAATTGGGCTAGGGTGAAATTGAACTTTTTGTTGTAGCCTGTGTGTCATATTTGTGCTCAGCTATCCTTTTTTTAAATGATCTGTTGGTTGAGCCAATGTATGTTAATTTTTTGTTTGGATTAGGTCTGTTGTCCTCTAGTGAGACCATGTAAATCCCTGGTCTTCTGGCTTTGTTGCATTTGTCATTGGGATTAGCCAGAAGTTTATAAATCGTAGGGTTGCATTTGTATGAGGGCAGCTTTGACCTTCTTGGTTATGATTTTAAATGCTTGGCTCATTCTAGGGTCAAAATTGACTACAATGCACTTGCCTTGCTGTTTTGGAGGTCTGGAATTAACCACTTTGGTTTTTAAGCAACTATGTATTTTTTGCACAAGTCTATCTATTAACTTACCATTGTAACTGTGGGCTATGGCGATGTGTTTGATGTGTTGGATTTCTTGTAGCGCGTCCTTAATGTTAGAGCAATGGGTAAAAGCTCTACGGATTAGAGCCCTGAAAGCAGATATTTTATAAGTAAACGGGTCATTCGAGATTGCGGGGATGAAGAATGATTGATGATTAAGCTTATGGAATACCTTTGTGGCTATACAATCATGATTCAGGAATATATTGAGGTCAAGGAAATGGGCCATCCTATCATCCTGTTGATCTAACTTTAATTTAAGCCCAAACAGGTTATTATTCACAATTTGCAGTACTCTGTTTAAATCTGGCTTGGATCTCCAAATAATATCAACAACATAATGTGTGTAAAGAATGATTTCTATGTTGAAGGATTCTAGGACTTGGCTATCTAATTTTCTAACAACTAACTCACAGAGGTCTCCAGAGAGGGGAGTTATCCATTGAAACTCCTCTTTTTTGAAGACAGATTTGCTGGTTGAAGGTGAAAAATGAGGTATAGCACATTAGATGGGATAGTTCTGAAACATGCTAAAACACGGTTCCATTAAATTGGAATCGTGCTTCTGTGCCCTTAGAGATTTCCTCTTCCAAGCCTCTCCACCCAAGCCTGAACACCACAAGCAGGTTTTAGAACTAGCCCATCTAATGTGCTACACCTCATTTTTCACCTTCAACCAGATGATACTATTTGGAGATCCAAGCCAGATTCAAACAGAGTACTGCAAATTGTGAATAATAATCCGTTTGGGCTTAAGTTAAAGTTAGACCAACAGGATGATAGGATGGCCCATTTCCTTGACCTCAATATATTCCTGAATCATGGTTGTATAGCCACAAAGGTATTCCATAAGCTTAATCGTCACTCTTTCTTCATCCCCGCAACCTCGAATGACCCGTTTACTTATAAAATATCCGCTTTCAGGGCTCTAATTCGTAGAGCTTTTACCCATTGCTCTAACATTAAGGACGCGCTACAAGAAATCCAACACATCAAACACATCGCCATAGCCCACGGTTACAACAGTAAATTGGTAAAAACAGTAAGAAGTAAAAAATATATTCCACAATACAATTGGCACAAAAATTGAAAAGGAAAAAAACAGATAATGCAGGCATTGTTTATAGTTTATAATGTACAGTACAAGCCAACCTCTATATCATTACATAGGAGAGACCCTAGAACCCTAGGTAAAAGAAAAACAACATGATGCTGCTATACGTCTTAAACATAAACAATCACCATGATATTATTGCACAGAAAAGACAGATTGCACAACAGATAAAAAATTCAGCAACAAGTTGCATGTCTTTCCCAGCTATTATAAGATCTTATTAGAAAATACCTTTTATAATTTTAATTAATCTATCTGTTATGAGATCTTGTTAATAATAAGTTTTTATATTTTAAATTACTATAAAATTGCAAAAAAGCTTAATTTTTAAGGATAGGGATGAGTTTTATAAAAAAAAAGTATAAATGTGAATAGTGAGTAAAATCATCATTAAGTCTGATCCAACTAGAGATACACACAATCCCTTTTATTGTCCCACCCCGCTGATTTTTAACCACTAAAATTTAATAGCATCAATGCCCCTCATAAAGAAGCTACCATGCCAAATTTAATTACTTAATCTTTACTTCATCTTGAGATATTAAACTAGATACCAATATACACTCACATACATATTCATGGAATATTTTTGCCATTTTTTGTTTTATTTACTTTTTTGTATTCCAGAGGTTTCAAAATCGGGATATTTGCAAAAAACTTGAAAGGTCAAATTTCACACGATTCCAATACTTTCCCTTGTTATGTATACATAACAACTAGGAAAGTAAAACCAGATTAAAGTTTGACACCATAAAAATGACAAGCAAAAGGAAATTTAAAGAACAGATAGCAATCAAGAAAAGTTTATATAAAAAAAATCTGTTACACATGTGTGAAGGAAAACAAATCACCAAGAGATAATATGACATCAATCTCTTGATCATGGATAATTCTGGGAGCAGTGAATCTGTTGGCTACAAGGTGGTTACACTTTAGAGCAACAAAAAGTTTACTTATATTAATTATCAACAACCATGAGGCAGATAATAGTGAAAGCTTATCAGACCAATGATGGGCATAAACACTCAGGAATCAAAATGAAAATGTTTAATAAACACAAAACTGACTACATAAGTATGGAAATGAAAAATCCTTACATAGAGGACTATTTTCTATCAGAAAATGGTCCCTCATCAGTTGGTATTAACTAAAGGTTTTAGTATATTTACTAAAAGTTTTGGTAAGTTTACATTTAAAGACTAATAGACTATTATTATAGTGTGAGAGCTGAACTTAGTGGAATAAATTATTAAAAAATTTTTCGTTGAGAGAGAAAAAGGTTAGAGAAATAAACAACAAAACGACATTTAAAAAGATCATTAAATTGTTTTCCCACTGACTTATTTCCTGGTTGAAGATGATACATTGAATGTGTCACCCCGGAATCTACGAAGAGAAGAAAAAAAACAACTATTGGTCAGTGGTGGAAAACAGTCCTAATAAGGCAGTGGAAAAAACCCAACGATACCCCCTTTATAAAAAGGAGGGGTAGATGTGTCAAAGACAGTCTCTACAGTTAAGCAAACTATAGGATTACATGTGTGGATTAGCCGCTGCCAGGGACATTTCTAATCACCGCTGTGCAGGAAGACCAGCGTCTAAGAAACCTCATCGTTCTTGAGACTCAAGGACTACATTTCTTACTCTCCTAACTTATATCAAGGTATTTTTCCTCGTGCGAAGTAAATGTAAACTCTCTCTCATTAATATGAGTTATCAGGAAAGAAGTAGCTCTGTTAACTGAAATCAAACATGATTTGTATATAGTTTAAATAGAACAGTAAACGTTACGTAAACAGTAAAGTATATATGTATATAAAGACAATATATAGAGCGTAAATCCTCTGATTCTCTCCTTCTGCCTCTATCCTGGAACCAAAAGTCCGCAAGCACGACCGTTCGCGTAAAGAAAATTAACGGCCAATCTGGTTTCTGTGTCTATCCTTAAGACAGTGGTGTCATCCTGACAGGGTGCCAAAGAGGTGCCGACTCTGCGGTCACAATAGCATAAAACATCTATAATCTAAACTATCAGTTCTTATCATTTGCCTAATGTATCAGCATAAAATATATTCCATGTACCTTTGTATTTAAGGAGATGGTTGATTCAATATAAAAAAAAATATTACTATAGGAAATCCTTGTTAATTTGAACTCGGATAGCAAAATCCCATTACTTCATAACTGTACTTTTGTCCCAGTAGGGAATATGGAGATTTACACATTAAAGGCAGCCATACACGTTAAGTTAATCCTTTGAAGATTAACCATGCATGCCTGACCTTGAGTAATTCCTGATAGGGTGTGGGGGAAAATTTAACAGTTTTGGTGAACTGTACTGACCACCGGAGTAGAATCGAAAAACCATTTGATTTTCCTGCACAATGTCAGACTGCGCAGGCCAACCTTAACGTGTGTCCCGTCCTGTCGTTCAGTTGTGAGACCGCTGAGTAATTAGAACAATGTCTCGTGAATGTTTAGAAGAATTATTTTCTATAACCTTATTAACTTTTATTATTTATAACCTAAAAAATTAATTTTTCAGATTATAAATAATTTTCAGATCAAAAATTTCTTGGGTAAATTAAAATTATAAATAATTTTAATATTTAGAAAACTTCTCAATTCATTTCTTCTGTTTTCATAAAACATCTTGCTACTCTATATCATTTTCTTTTACATTTTAAAAAATTTATTGTTTTAATATCCAAGTAAATTAAAACATAACTTAAAATAAGACAAAGTTTAATAAATTCTTTTTAATTATTAAATTATAAAATTAATTTGCGATAATAATGATTACAATTTGTACTAATATCCGATGTAGTTGAGAATTATTAATATATATTTGGTTTTTTTTCTTCTAATATCCGAATAAATTAAAACACAACAATTTTGAAATAATATTTTAACAATAAGACAAAGTAAAATAGGGAAATAGTTTAATACAATAATTATTTAAATTATATTTGTTACTTATTTATTAAATATATATACAATGTATTGATTTTGAAATTATCTATTTTTTGTTCAATTAAGAATTGTTCATAATATAGAATATTGCAAAAAGAACAATGCTTTTTAAAATATTTGTGGTAATAACAATTCTTTTTAATATTATCCGATCTTGGACACCCAAGAAGTTCAATGTCTAAATAACTGTAGCTCCAATTTTTAAAAAGATTTTTTTTTCTATCTATCCACCTTTAAATAAAAATAATTCTTTATACGTTCAGAAATAATTTAATAAGTTTTGTAAATTACTATGTTCGATCCAGCCAGTTATATCCGATGGTTTTTCGTCTATAAAATTTAATCCGTGAATTTTTTTGGTAGTAAAATCGACTTGCCATTGTTCTTTCGCTGATAATTGATGCTTTTTAACAGAATCTATAGAACAAGATTTCTCTTGAAAAATTAATTTTGTGATCTGAAATAATTCCATTAAAAAATTATTCGTATGAAAAATTAATTTTGTGATCAGTGCTACCCAAATCACTACTACTATTTACACCATAGACTTCTATGCACACTTTTTTCCCAGGAGTTTTAATAGAATTTGTTGCCAATAAACATCCAAGAACAGCCAGTATGTCATCATCAGATGCCATGGCCGACTGACTGACTAATTGAAAGACAATGGCATAGTGAACATAACTGGCGCCACCCTCCCTCCAGAAACAAATCTTGTTTGTCTTGGAGACCATTTGGCACCCCTCTGCAAGTGGCGCCCAGGGCATGTGCCCTACTTGCCCCACCCTAGCTACGCCTATGTTGAGAGATTTTCTTCTTCGTGTGTGGGCGATAGGAAATTCTGAAGTTCCTCAAGGTCAGGCAGCCTTAAAGGATTAACTTAACGTGTATGGCTGCCTTTAGGAATTTAGTTAGTTCAAAATACGACTACTTCGTAATTTGAAGTGAAAATTCTGTCCGAACTGCGATACGCACACATTAAGTCATTCATTTAGATTAAAGTGCCACCATACTATAAGAGGGCCCACCAGTGGCCAAGCAGTCTTTGCGGATTTGCATCCCACTCGGACGGGCCGGCCACGTGGAGTTTTCCGGGTTTTCTCCACGTCCGTAACTCCTAAATAGGAGCCAGTTTCCCTTAAAAAGACCTCCCGGAAGGCAACCCCCTAGGCAGATCACCCAAGCATTGCATTGCCATAAGTGAACAAAACAAACCAACCATACTACTGTATAATAGAACAAGAATAATTCTAATCCGGTCAATACGGTTTTGCTTTTACGCTAATACATTTTTGGCCATCATCTCATCCGAGGACTATCCTTTTTTCACTTATTTCATAAAATACGACCGGTTTTAGGAATTGCAAGATCGGGCTACAAATAGCAGACCGAGACATACTCGGGGCTCTAGGCTACCACATTTGGACGACTTACTACTTTTCGAGCCACTCGAAAAATAATTCGGGCCACATTTCGAGGAATTCTGCCCGGCTTTTTATAAGACGTATCCGGCAACCCAAGAGTTTCTCGCCGGACACGCGCCGTTTACCCACAGTTTATTTACGATATTATTAACGATTATTAATTAACGAAAATAACACACACGGCGGTATTCCGCTTCCCGGACAAATTACATCAATTACACGGCATTTTCACACCGTACAGAAATACGTAAATCTCGGATAATTCGAAACGCGCCCATTCGCAACGCCGATCGTCTCGTCCCTTCAATTTCGAACTAACAAGGATTTCCCACATTACATTCGTTATTATTTATTTTCATTTTGTACTTAGACCTAGATCTCAATAACCGTAGTTACCGACGAGGGGTCGTAAAACGTAAGTTTGCCCAAAATGCCACATTCGAGATTACCGGTAGCATTTCTATACACCCGCAGAAGCAGGATTACAGAATTTTCAAGAATTATCTAATTGAAATATAGTTGGCGATCCCAACAACACAGGAAATTTTCTATTATGTTTGTTTATAACTTTCAAAATTTTACTGCAGTCTTTATTTTCCAATTAAAAAGGAAACTTCAAACTGGAAAAAATGTACAGGTAATAATCACACAGATACCCTTTGCTTTATGCCAGTAGTACTGTACATTATAAACGACAAAGGTTTTTGAACAGGTCGAATGTCAGTCATACACGTTCCATTTAGAATGTTCATTTTAATCACTTTCTACCTTCGAACTCAATTTAGAATTTAAATTATTTTTGAAATAGAACATTATTAGTTCACCAAATTAAATTTTGCAATTAATATATTCTACCCGATGATCTTTACCCTTTTGAATTTTCCTTCCTAATAAAAATCTACACGAAATAGAAAGAAATAATCAAATAAAATGAATTACGTACGTTAGTCACAACAGCAAATCTCTCTTTCTTCGGTTACGCGTTCGTACGAACGAATCGAGCTTCCACACATTCAATTTTCGTTCCAAAATTTAACCAACGAACGACGTTGCCAGATAGATGTAGTGCAAACTTTTAAGTAAATGAACATAAATTAATAATTACGCGAAAATAGATGTAAATAAACATTTCATTAAAAAATAAATATTCCTAGCGGAATTTGTGTCTTCTATTTTAAAAACAAATAAAATCCACGGACCCCGTTTTAAGCTGGCAGACGAAAGTTAGCGGAATGAATGGAAAACTTGTTGAAAATCCAGCGCTATTTAATTGCTGATATTTATTTTTTAAAAAGTTATATAGTCTTCTAGCTTAAATAAAAGTTAGCAAAATAAATACGGATTCGGTTATCGTCAATTTTTTAAACTGTTTCCGCCCTGTCGGGCCGGTTTTGGACCGTTAGCCGCCTGCGAATTCAAAAGCTAAGTCAACGCGCGAGAACCTACTATGTTGAGAGGGGGAAAATCCATTAAAATATTTCATATACAGTATATTTATTTTAATTTTATTCAAACGAGCCTCTGTTCAAAGTTATATTTCTGCGCCGCCATAAAATACAAGTTGCAAATTAAAATGAAATTAATTTAATTAAATTTTTTAGTTAGTACATAAATATACATAAGTATGTACAAAATTTATTTAAATATGAATATCTAAATTAATAACGTTGGTGCGCATCTCTTTGTTTATTTAAATAGGGCTGCAATTTGAAAAAAATTGTACATCTATAAATTTCCACCGTCGCCCTCCGTTTGTCTGTCCTTCCTTCATCTCCAGAACGGAGTTAGATACATGAAAATCAAAACCAAATATAGAAGGCTTAGGGGCTGGATGTCCCGATTAACGATATACGATTCAAAAAGTTTTCCCCCGAAACGAGTTAGATAATGACCGGCAGAAGTCTGTCGATTATTATATTTACGCCCACCAGTGGCCGAGCGGTCTTCGTAGCCCGAACACTGGGAGTTCTGTCGTGGGTTCGCGCCTGGCTCGGACGGGCTGGCCACGTGGAGTTTCCCGGGTTTTCTTCACGTCTGTAACGCCTAAATATGGGCCAGTTTCTCTTAAAAAGACCTCCCGGAAGGCATTCCCTAGGCAGATTGCCCAAGTATGCGTCGCCATAACTAAACAAACTATTATATTTACAGTATGAAAAATGATATTTTTTGTGTACTGTCGTCATGTACGCACTGCATACCTACCAAAACCAGCCCAGAGTCGTTTCAAGACAGACTTTCTCGGCCTCCCCTACCACGCTTCTCATCCACCTTCAGTGGCGTAGCGAGGGGACAGGGGGATGTATCATGCACCGGGCGCCACTCGCAGAGCGGCGCCCAAATGGTCTCCAAGACAAAGTATATGTGTTTCTGGAGGGGGAGGCGCCAATAAAGTGCCGTGTCCCGAACGCCAGTTATGTTCGCTAAACCACTGTCCACCTTTCCTATATGTTATATCAGAGTCGATAGATTATCTGGTCTCTGAATACCTATTGTTTTCACCCTTAAAAGTAAAGGTAATAAACAAGTTTGCTGATAGGTGTGCCGCAATCGTTTGTTTATATCCTATTCAGAAAAGCATTATATCGGTATAAAATAGTGCTGTGGAGTCGGAGTCGTCAAAAATTCCCCGACTTCGACTCCTGTTTACTTTTCCAACTTGTTATGTGTATAAAAAACGGAAAAGTATTTAAATCGTGTCACATTTGACCCTCCGAGTTTTTTGCAAATCTATACGTTTGGAGATCTCTCGAACCCAAAAAATGTCAAATAAACGGAAAAATTTGCAAGTGCGTATGTTGGCGTCTAATTTGTTTAATTTCTTTTTTCTGTTCTGAAATATTACACAATATCTTAGAATGAGTAAAATTTAAGAAACAAAACTTGGCACAGTAGCGTGTGTATAAAGTGAATTAATGTTTTGAGTTGAGTATTAAACTCAAGATCGTGTTATTAATCAAACACGTGGCCTCTTTTCCATCTTTATTTAATTGAATAAAGATGGAAAAGAGACCATGTGTTAGATTAATAACACGATCTTGTGTTTAATACTCAACAAATAGTACAACAGATTTCAAAAAACAAATAAACAAGGAATTAATGCTATTAAATTTTGGTTCTTAATTAAAGGTTGACAGGGTAGAGACATAGAAGGAGTCGTGTGTCATATCTCCAGTGTGGTCGGCCTTGAGGAATATTTTATTCGTTATTAGCATTCACAATTTATAATATAATCAAGATGGGTTAATAATAATAATAATAATAACTCTCCCGTGGTCACCACCTGGTCGTGGTGGGAGAGCCCAGTAATTTTACAGATCCGTAGAGCAATGCAAGCTGGAGCACAAGCTCCTGGTAGGGACACCCATGCCAGTAAGGTCTATGGGGAGAAATGAAGCTAAGAGTGACCACACCCACATTCTGTGGAGATAATTATCATGGTAGTAACCAGATCAAAGTGTGATACCGGCTCGGACATTGCCCAAATTAACAAGGTCCGCATTCGTGGATTAGGCAGAGGCTCATGTTCAAAAAATAGGCCGCAGTCTCCCTTAGTTACCGGTGGCGAAAGCAGCGCCGGCCCAAGCATGTCTACTGCAATGCCCTCAACAGATTTGAGGAATCAACCTAGCCTTGGTGTTTCTGTGGCAATGCATCTACAGACCACAAAGGCTGGAAAACCACGCCAACGGATGAAATGGACAACAGAAATGAACGAGTTTATCATCCGCACTTACTACACCATCACAAGACTCGAAACAAACATGACAGCATACAGACAACAACTACACCATAGATTCACACAACAATATCCTCACCTCACTGTCACCGAACAAAGGGTTGTCGATCAAAAAGAACAATTGTACACAACAACCTTATCCCACAAACAACACTTGAACTTATCAAACAACAGGTTGCTGATCAAATACATCAACAGACAGAAACACTTAACATTAATGAAGATGACGTAACCTGTCAGGTTAATCCAGCAACAAGCATTAATAATAGCACACGTACAACAACTACTACTAATGATACTACAAGCACTTCCTCATCTATAACTGATAACATAGACATAGAATTAGTTAATACGCTCTCACTTATATTTCAGGAAACACTTACTAAATATACTAGTACAGATCCTACACAAAGACCACGAATACCAAAAATCAACACGTCAAAGGTAGTAGGAAAAACACTAAATTATGTAAACACTCACTTACTACCACACTACATCCATTTAATTTCTACTCTCTCAGACATTCATACATTAGTTTATGCTGGGGCAGTCACAGTAGTGACACACCATGAACTGAAAATACAATCGCAGACAGACACACACAAAACACAATTCTATCACAAGCCTGCCTGGCAGAGA